GGAGTGCGAAGAAGGGTAGGACGGCACCTTGGTGGACGATAGAGTGCGCACAAGCCAAACGCGAATACAGGATATTCAGGGACGAAGAGAGCAGAAAGTATTTCCGTCGCATAGTCAGAAGTGCGAAACGCCAATACTGGCGGCGGAAGTTCTCCGAAGCCACAACTGACGTTGACATATATCGGATGGCACGCTGGGCAAAGCCGTGACTTACATCCGCTGCTCCACCACTTCAAACTCCCGACGGTTTTGTTTCGGACCCAGGAAAGCGTGCACTTCTGTTGCGCAACCTCCTCCTCGGCCGTTTCACCAGCCAAAACGAAGTCGAAGCTGAGAACCTCGAGCCAGGACTCGGAAACCTTCCATAGGTCTCAAGCGTCACGGACAGAGAAGCCAGGTGGGTCACAACAGCCTGCCAAAATAAAGCTCCCGGAGCAGACGCGATATCTGTGCGGCTTCTTAGGACAGCCTGGCCGTAAATTGGTCAAGCAGTGAGAGTACTCTTTGAGGGCTCACTTCGACTGAACCACTTCCCGAAGGCATTCAAGCTAGCGGAAGTAATTCTTCTCCCCAAACCTGGCCGTAATCTCAGTACTGCTAAAGGATGGAGACCTATCGCACTGCTATCTTCTCTCGGCAAAGGTCTTGAGAGACTAGTTTCAAGGCGAATGGCTTACACCGCCATTTCGTACAAGGCCGTGCCGCAGCAGCTTTATGGAGCACTCTCCGGCAGATCAGCTAATGACCTTGTCTCATGCGTTATCCACGATGTGGAGCATGCAATGAAGAGGCAGAAGAAAGCAGTTCTTGTCACTCTGGACGTACAGGGGGCATTTGACGCAGTACTACACGGAAGGCTGCTGTAGAGGATGAACAAAGTTGGGTGGCCGAAATCAGCCTTCACTTGGATAAAGTCTTTCCTGACTGAACGATCCGCCCGCGTCAGACACGAGGACGGAGTAACAGACCCAATTCACCTAGAATGTGGGCTTCCACAAGGATCGCCCCTATCCCCAATTCTCTTCCCCCTCTACATGGCCGAAGTCGTGGGGGGCAGCAGTTGGAGATTTGGCTATGCAGATGATATTGCTATCCTCGGCATAGGCTCGACGCCAACCGAAGCCACAGTGGCTGTCCGGCGAGAAGCCGATGCAGTCCTAGGGTGGGCTGCTGAAAATGCCGTCTCCTTTGACCCGGATAAGGCCGAAGTAGTCTACTTCGTCGGCCCCATATGCAGGGGACACGATCTTCCGGCTATAAGGGTAGGCACTCGCGATGTACAAGCATCCGACGATACCCGATGGTTCGGAGTACACCTTGATCGTGGTCTGACCTTCAAAAACCAAGTCGCAAAGTGGACCAGTAAATCAATGCGGCTAGTGCAACACTTCCGGCGACTCACTCAGTGTACTCAGGGACCAAGACCCGACTTACTAACCACAGTGATCCGTACGGTAGTCCTGCCAATCGCGATGCACGCAGCGGAATCTTAGTACCCGGGGCCAACCAGGGAAACATATCGGGGTGTGGCGCGAAATTCATGTAAGTGACAGTGCAAAGTTATTGACCAAACTTCTGCCTTAGGAATTCGCGTGGCTCTAGCAACCTGGCGCACCATGCCCATCACATCCCTGAGAAGGGAGACTGGCATTCCACCTGCACACATTCTGCTCGAAGAACGCAGGCTCAAGACTGCCGCTAGAATCCGGAGACTGGATGATTATCATCCGCTTCGACTTCGGGCCACAGAAAGCACTGACAGCGCTCGTCACCGACTAGGACTAAAGACATGCAACAAAACCAAACTTGGTTTGGACAGAGTTCATGATTCAAGGGTCCAGAGGCTGAACTTCCGCCACCGCTCCGACCTCCGGTACCACCCCAGCTAATTCCTCGTTGGACAAGCAAGAAAGAGGCTGCTAAGTTCATAAGAGAGTGGCTGCCTACACTCCCACCCGACTGTCTCTGCGCTTACGGTGATGGTTCTGGGGCTTCAACCGACAGAGTGTCATGGGCCTTTGTGACTTTTATCAGCGGCACAGGCACGGCAATTGAGCAAAGCAGCTCAGGTAAAATTACCAACGTGGAGGTCTACGACGCGGAGGTTCATGGAGCTTTGACTGCTTTAGAAGTAATCACTGCCAGCAATCGAGATCGAGGACGCAGCGCCATCTACATCCTGCTCGACAATTCTGCGACTGTTAAGGCATTACTGACGGGAACAACGGACTCATAATCCTGGCGTATCCAAAAGTTCTTGAAACTGGCCGCGGGATTTGCCGCTCCTGTAAAAATAGGATGGACCCCAGGCCACGAAGGGCTAGCAGGAAATGAAATCGCCGACGAACTCGCTCGAAGGGAGCTTAACTCGCCGGACAACTCTAGGACGACACATGATGTGATGACCCTCGGCTCATCTGGACGGAAAGCCCGTGAACTGGCCAGGCAGATGTTGACAGACTGGTGGCACTCGAATCGCCCCAAACACTACGCCGATCTTGAACTCGAGATGCGGCGCAAGAAACCGCCATAACTAGCGCTACCTAGAGCTGTCTACGCCCGCCTAATTGCTGCTCGAACTGGACATGGGGACTTTGCGGCATATCATCGCCGCTTCAACCACACTGACGCCAAACTCTATTGCGAGTGCGTGAGGGAAAAATCAATTGGTCACCTTGTCCAGTGTCGAAAAGCACTGGCAACATGGCGGCTGAAAAGCGGAAAGCGTAGGGCGCCGGCTCTGGAAACAATGCTCGGATCAAATGGACGGCAGCTGTTCAGGGACTACGTCCAGGAGAGCGGAATATACGCGGAGGCTAGCCGGGGGATGGCAGGGATACCTGTGACTCGGAGGTGATAGATCAAAGGCCTAGGTGGTTTGGCATGGACAGAGAGATTGGATTCGAGGCTCAGGCGCGTGGTGGCTGAGGCGGAACGATGGAAGGGAGATTGTTGAAGTTTTTCTTTTGTGATGTGGGATTTCGCGTGAAATTTTTTATTTTGTTTTCAATTCTGGGCTGCTGAGTTCGTCATAGTTCAACACATAGATGCATTTTGGCATGGTTCCGGTCATTTAGGTGGGACGAGGCATTTGTACTGCACGGTAGTTAACCTGATCCGGCCCGACCCCACTCGTGCTCAAGCTCCAGTAGGAGTGCGACGGTAGTTACTTCACCCAGCACGTTAATGAACAAACAAAACAAACTAAAACTACTAAGTCGTCAAAGAGTAACCTGTGTAATGACAAACAACACCTTTCTCACCCACAAAAATTACATGTATTGTCTTGAACTTTCCCAATCATGTGCAGGTAGACCCTTGTGTTGCTAACACCAAGTCTTGCTTGGAAATATCTACATTCCGTCTCTCTGCTACATTCCTGAAAATTGAACAGTCTTGTGTTGAAATTTGGATGGTAAGATTGTGCCTGGAGCATGTAATATTTTCCGAGTCCTTTAGCCCCTCTACCTTCCTCCTCAGGCCATAATTCCAGGTTCCAATCTCTCTGCCATGCCTGTATAATCCATTCTCTTGCCTTCTGCTTGATAAAAGAATGAGATGTAAACTTGTCCCTTTTCAAAGTTGGTTTTTTACCACCCCCCTTTGCTAATCTATCAGCAAGGTGTCGTCATTGCACTGCTTGGAAAAAGCAGGTATCATGAAACCATTTGCCAAAAATTATAGGGGGTCTGTTCTCAACACCTGTCAGTGGTATCCCCTACGGGCCTCCAGCTCTCACTGTAGAGTCTGCAGAGCCGAGATTGAATAACAAAATCCTCACTTCGACGAGGATTCCCAATCGCTTTCGCCGTCTGTATCGTCTTAATCCCTAACCACATTGTGCGCTCTTGATTGGCTCACGTGGTGCGGGGGAATATTTAAATCGATTGGCAATCCTGTATAATGGAAATCAATACACGGATTTTTAGTCTCAAGTTCTACTCACATTATATTGTTGCTTAGTCGGAGCCACGAGACACCTGCGTGAAATTGTTGTGATCATAAACTGACCAACAAGAAGCCACAACATCCTCCTATCACTACTATCATGAAGCTAACAACGATCAGATTTGATGGCAGGGTCGGAGCTCTACTCATCACCAAACCTTGATCATAGAGGAAAAGCCATCCGATGGGTTTTCAGTGCGTACCCGGCACCCGATACGAAGCTGGTGGTTTGGATTAAGTCGGCCTCGACTGTTACAAAGAAGGGAGATGTAGATGAATATGCGCACCTCATGTGGTCCCGGTGTCTAGGCCTCGCCTGGCTGGGGCTGTAGGTTTTTTGAGACTTTTTCCAGCGCACGCAGTTTCCATTGCTACCATTTTTATTTTTTTTGGGTAAATGGTTCCGTGGAAAAGGCGGTTATACTCTACGGGTAAATACTAAGCTAAATGGCTATTCATCAAGGGGAATATATCAATGATCTTTCGAGTAACAAAAGAGGATAGGAGCACTGTACAAGGTGTGGCCTGGGTCAGAGAGGAGCCCAATGCACTGGATAATCTATAACTCAAGTAGCACAATAAACACACTCACTCCTTATCACTTTCCTCTCGTTCCGAGAGATAGAAGTTACGTACACGAGTAAATAAATTAGTAGGTAACGCCCGCGCTATTCCCAAATAAGAAAGGACATCAAGTTGTCAAGTGAAAAACATAAAAATGTAATCAGACAGAAATATGTTTAACAGCACGGATCGAGTAAACTTCCGACAAAAATCAAGTTTTTTCCAAGACGAGAGATAAATGCTCAGCACCATGGGAAATGCCGTTAACTAAACAGCAATCAGGGAAGTTTATCACAAGTTTGAGGTTAATATCACGTGAGATACTTGAAATTCCTTAAAGCCACACCGAATCTTTGCTAAAATATGACCACATGCCCAAGAGCTGAGTAAACAATAAGTCCAATGTCAGACTCTCTTCTAGAGGCAATATCAGAAGCTTTGCTGCGGCCTTCTCGTCCCATCCCGTCATCCTCGTCAAGTTCACTACAATGTCACGCGCATCCCGTCTTACTCTTGCTGGCACATCGCTCTTCGCATTAACTACTGTCATCTTTGTGCACTATGCACAAGGTGTTGAGAAAGCGGTACGAAACTCCTTTCTTCTATGACCGCCTGCTAACCTTGTCATCCATTCTAGGCCATGCACCAAGGCGTACTACGCGATGTTGAGTTGCAGCGCATAAAGAAAGAACGGCTTGACGATTTCAATGTACAACGCGCCCTCGAACACGAATATCGGAAGCGGCAAAGCGTGCGGGATGTCGATGACTACGCTGAGCCACGATCAAGCACTAGCACCACATAGCCCTCAAGTTGTTGGTTCGGACTACGGAGTTACTTTTGCTATCATCAGTTTAATTACAGTTATCTGATTGGTAACATCCAAATCTTAATCGATAAAAAACAAGCTTAGCTCACGTCTCCGCAATGTACTGTGAACTTGCTTGGAGGCTGCTTCATCTCACAATCCTGAAATTATTAATTTCGAGTATATAGACAGGGTATGAAACATGATCAAAACCAGGGACGAATAACTGGCCCGCAAGATGCGTCTAAGTTTATTTCTGCCATTAATCTAATGATATACTCATGGAAGTTCGGTCTTTCTTCCTCGCAGAAGCTTCAACTTTTGTTTGAATCTCTCATGCGGCCCTACTTTTGAGTACCAGCCAGCTCAAAATAATGTATTACCCCAACGCCAGCTTGAAATTTGCGACACAGAAATGTAAGAAAATTGACACAAAACATTACTATTCCTCCTGACAATTATAGCCCCCAAACCATGTCTCAATTAACGAATAGAGACACCCGATCGAGTGATAAACATTCTGGCAGCAATGTTCATAGAGGATAGTTCTTGGAATAGAAGTTTGGCAGCGTACGGAATGTGTATTTGAGATATTTTTGTTTTGTTTTTGCATGGTCGACATTCGAAGGATTGTGTCGATATTTTACTACAGTAGTCAGTTTAATTCTAATGAATATAGAGGGGATAGTATAGAAAACGTACGCGATAGGCGTCATTAATCCACAAATATCGCAGATGTGGACTCTAAAAGCATCGGAAACCTCGAATAATCGCTCCTTCAAGAATGCTGCTGCACCATGAGAAATCATACAATCGCGTTCCATTTCTCCGAACCGCAGACCACCATCTCTGGCACGACCTTCCACAGGTTGCCGTGTTAGAATCTGTACTGGGCCTCTGGCACGTGCGTGGATTTTATCGTCAACCATATGCCGCAAACGCTGGTAATATGTGGGTCCTAGAAAGACTTGTGCAACAAGCTTTCGGCCTGTGTGTCCATGGTACATTATCTCAAATCCACGTGATTGGTACCCATGATCGCGTAGAAGTTTCGAGACTGAGTCGACCGTAACTTCTGTAAAAGGCGTGGCGTCTCCTTCTAGACCACGTAGGGTCGACACTTTACTCAGTTGACATTCTATCAAATGGGCAATAGTCATACGGGATGGGATTGCGTGTGGGTTAATAATTAAATCGGGAACAATTCCTTGGCATGTAAATGGCATATCTTCTTGCCTATAAGTAATTCCGATAGTTCCCTTTTGACCATGCCGAGAAGCGAATTTGTCACCAATCTGAGGTATCTTGGTTGTTCTCATTCGTACTTTGACGAATCGGAGACCTTCTCCATTGGTCGTTATTAAAACTTGGTCAACGATACCGTTCTCAGTACTTCGCAATGGAGTCGAGGCATCTCTTTTAACGTGAGCCTTAGTTCGCTGACCGAGTTCCTCAGCATCAGGGGCGATTGGTGCTGTTTTTCCAATAATTATATCTTCACCGGATACTCGTACGCCGGGAGCGACGATTCCATCTTCATCAAGTTTATCGTAGGTACCATGTTTCAGTTTTAGAGTATCAGATCGGAAGGGCTTCTCAAAACACTCAATGGCATTTATGCCGATACGCTTTTCTTGATCCGTATAAGCTCGATAGAACAGACTTCTGAAGAGACCACGATCAATACTGCTTTGGTTCATTATCACGGAATCCTCTTGATTATACCCGGAGTAGCAGGCTATAGCGACAATAGCATTTTGGCCAGCAGGCAGCTCTCTGAATTTAAGGAATTCCATTGATCGAGTTGTTGCCAATGGTTTCTGAGGATAATAGAGAATATTTGCCATGGTATCCATTCTTTGGTCAAAATTTGTTAGGAAAAATCCCATGGCCTGCTTGCCCATTGCCGATTGATATGTATTACGAGGAGACTACTGTTTGTGAGCGACAAAGTCAGAAAATTTATGGCATACGTACTTGGTTATGATCTGGGAAGGGAATAATGCTTGCACATATCCCTAGAATCATGCTGGGATGAATTTCACAATGTGTCCATCGATGGGCTGTAGGATTCATTGGGGCTTTGACTCTTTTGTTAAGGTCTCCACTAATATCAGGCGCAATTTGATATCCAGCCTGAAGTTGTCGAGAAATATCCAAATCTTCAGGAGTCATAACAATCATGACAGTTTCTTCTTCTTCGGCGTCAACATATTCTACAACACCGGAATTGATTAGTCCCTGGAACCCAAAGTATCCGTGAGTAATTCTACTCTCGGCATCCATATCTTTTAAGTGTTGATCATCTTCGAGACGACGGATATGTTCCTTATTCAAAACTAGATTTCCCTGGTTTGTACTATCGGGATTGTTGTCAATAACGAAAAGGGGCCTACAGACACGGCCAGCATCGGTGAAGATTTTAAATTCCCGGTCCCGAATATCCCGAATGAGGGAGACTTCGTGAGAGATTAGATGGGATCTCCGCAAGTTTTGAACCGTCTTGACTAAATGAGCAGGATCACGATGAACACCGACCCAAACACCATTGACAAATACCTTAGTAGCGTTAGGTGAACGAAGAGGCTCATATTCCTCAAGTACCTCCATATTTCTCTGGATCATGAATTCAATGATTGGATCACTTGGTGTTCCAACTGTGACATAGCACATGAGTGCTAGGTTCTTCACTAGTCCACAAGCCTGACCCTCCGGAGTCTCTGCTGGACAAACGAGGCCCCAATGAGTATTATGTAATTGCCGAGGTTTCGCGATTTTTCCGTCACGACCGATTGGAGTGTTAGTTCGACGAAGATGCGAAAGAGTAGAAGCAAAAGTATATCTGTTTAGTACTTGTGAGACACCAGCAGTCGAACTGGCGGCTTTTTTCTGATCTCCCCAGTTACCGGTTGCAAGGGAATACTTGAGACCATTGGTGAGCGTCGTCGATTTAACTCCCAATGCGAGGTTAAACTCGCGATTATTCTCAACACATCTTTGTAAGTATTTATAAACATCACCTGTGAGACGTTTGAATAGATTTCGAAAAAGCTTTGCGAGTAGTGGACCAGCTAAATCTAGCCTTTTCTTTCCAAAGTGATCACGATCATCTGTTTCTCGACGACCCAAAGCACACTGTAACATTTTATGAACCATGTAGCCTAAGAAAAAGGCCTTTCGCGTCTCGCTCCCTTCTTTCTGTGAAATGTGAGGCAAGAGCTCTTTTTGCATGATTTCTCGCGCATTTTTGACACGTCTTTCTCGAGTTAGATTCGTGCTGCTACCACGCTTCCCAATATAGTCCAAAGCAACTTCGCGATCTTGGATGACGAAGGCTTCCTCAATACAGGGTTTGAGCATCTCTAGCATCTGCGTATCTGTCCGGTCATAACAGATATGATTCAAAATATCCTCATCTGAAACTACTCCAAATGCCCGAAAAACCACAGCAATTGGGATATCTGTCCTAACATATGGTAGAGTTGATTTGATAGTTTGACCGAACCCACCACGCTGACCGTCACCCTTAGCAAATAATTTAATTGTCATAGAGGAGATAAGTCTGGAGCCTTTCTCTAGTGCACTTCGAATCTCAGCTATGTACGGAGTAGGACTTGGTGGTGGCTTCTTAAATACTTGGACTATGTTGGCAGCACTTCGTTCCTGTGCAATTAATACTTTTTCGCTTCCATTGATGATGAAGTAGCCTCCTTGATCGTAAGGACACTCATTCCATGCGTATAGTTCATCTTCATCCAAGTCCTTCAATATACAATATTTTGATTTTAACATAATCGGTAATTTCCCGATGAAAACACGATCCGGTGCTTTTTGAGACTTTTCTCCCTCGAGGTCGTAACCATCTTCGTCCTCCCAAATTAGTCTTGTGGGATGTTCTCCTGTTCGCTGCATCTCTTCATGTTGTTCGTCGTCTAACTCGTTAAGAGGCACGGGACGTTCGACGGCTACAGAGACCTTTTTTGTCATTTCAAGATAAAGGGGACTGGAATACGTAAGATTTCGTAGACGTGCTTCCTGAGGAAGCATTACTTGTGTACTTCCATCTCCCTCTGTCATTGCAGGCCGCGAGAGGAGGACCGTTCCGAATTTAATTTCGTAGCGTCTAAGGGCGATAGGATTATCATCGGACGACGGAGGGTTATTTTGATCAAGTGTCAGCAATGAGCTTTCTTCAACCAATTCTTGCATAGTAGTAGAGACAAACTCATCAAAAGAGTCAAGCTGTTGTGAGACCAGCCCCTTTGACTCGAAGAAGGCAGAGATCACGAGCCAACAATCTTCTGCTGTGATACCCGTGTCTTCCTCTTCATAATCGTCGTACTCATAAACTTCTTCATATTGGGCCATTCTGTACGTCGGTTCAAACTACCGTAAACTGGACAACCACAAGTGCGCGGTAATCTGAATGGTATGCGATTGATTTGCCTTATGCATCAGTACACGCGACCGACGTCTTACAAGGCCTCAAAATCGAAAGAAAAAGATAACAATGCTCTGTGCGAGGTATCTGAGATGATTGCGCGTCGGTAAATTTAGTCATCACCTTTGGTGTTATTTGCGTTGGTTACTTTGTGTAACATGTGACTTGAAATGGCTATTAACGCTAACTTGAGTGCTAGCCCCTGAAACTACTGACACGCCACATGTGGAGACCCAGATCGCCGGCAATTCTCTAGATTGCAGACTCCTCTGAAGGCCCTATAGTTTTTAGTGATGTTGTTTATTATACTACTTGTATCTTAGACTATCCAGCACACTGGGCCGCTTTCTAACCCAGACCACACCTTGTACATTGCTCCTTGCCTCTCATGTTTTTGAAAGATCATTAATATATTGCCCTTAATGAATATACATTCAGCTCAGTATTTACTCGTGGAATTCTGCCGCCTTTTTCACGGAACCATTTACCCAAAAATATATTAAAAAATGGTTGTAATTCAAACTGCGTGCGCGGGAAAAAGTCTCAAAAATCCTGCAAGCCCAGCCAGGCGAGGCCTAGACACCGGGACCACATGAGGTGCGCATATTCATCTATATTTCCCTTCTTTGTAACATTCGAGGCCAACTTAATCCAATCCGCCATCTGCTTATCGGGTGCTTGGTACGCTCCGGAAACTCATCGGATGGCTTTTCCTCTAAGATCAAGGGTTAGTAATGAGTAGAGCTCCGACCCTACCATCAGATCTGATCGTGGTTAGCTTCATGATAATGGTCACAAGGGGGTGTGCTTAGGGATGAAGACGATACAAAGTGTGAAAGCGATTGGGAATCCTCGTCAAAGTGAGGACTTTGTTATTCAATCTCGGCTCTGCAGAGTCTGCAGTGAGAGCTGAAGGCTCGTAGGGGACACCACTGACAGCTGGTGAGAATAGTCCCCCAAAGAGATAAGGAACATGTAGCGAAACAGACATTCTCATTAGAGCCACATTGTAGTGTATCCATCACTGCAGAAGTATATTCCGACAAGTTCAGATGTTGGATTTGCTATTCAATCCTCTTCGTAGCTTAACAATTTATTTTAGTCCTTCTTGCTCCCCTTAGATTATACGATTTTGTAGATAGCGTTGGTCAACATGAATCCTCAGGGATGGGGCTGCAGCCATAACTATAGCCCGGTAGAATTTGAAAATAAATAAACAAAATACTGCTCAACTAGGTTCCTAAACACAGAGAAAAATCCTATAACTTACTCCCTTTTTTTTTAATATTAAAGTCCTAGGCTAAAGCTCTAGGTCTTCTATAGGTACAAGACTGGTGAAGCCAGTGGGGATCACTGCTTACAGGCCCAACTCATTCCAAATGCTGGACTCGCTCCCAAAATAGTAAGAAGTAAATTGCGACGCAGACACCACCTACTCCAATTCCTAGATCAAAAATCACTCCTTTTCCCCCCTAAATCCATGTAGCTACAATCTTTCCTCAGAGAATCGATACTTCTTGCCTCGTTCCCTTTCGTGTCATACGTTGTGGCAATGACTAGTTTATCTGATCCCCGCTGAGAGCAGTAAATGGGTGGGCAGGTCGTCTATAAAAACAGCCGGTTTCCTGCGCAAACTTTCTGAAGCTTTCGTGGCATTTGGGCCCGAGAAGCCTTTCGACAATGTCAACGTGGGACATTGACTTTCTGAGCCTACGCGTGTACTGTGCGTGGCGGCTACAGCGGATGAAGTGGGTTGGAGTAGTTTCCTTCCCGCAAGAGCACTCCTTAGGAGCCTGTGGGTTATCAAAACGGCAATGGCATGGAGGTTTCTTGTGCACGCTAGTAAGAATAAAATGATAAATGTTGACTGAAATTCACGGATGTCTCGTGGCTCCGACTACGATAATCTATATGTGTGTAGAGCTTGAGACTAGGTGTAAACTTGTATTTCTATTAACGTTCTAACTCCTCCCTAAATACATGAAATCCTCTATACTCAAGATAATGTTAGGATTCATGATACATGACAAGTTAACTATCAGAGTACGGTAGGGCAGAAGTGAGGTGCTTAGCCGGAGGGAAAGACTGAACAACTGTACGCGGTGTCCTCTACGAACCTGGGAGTGAAATATTCTCCCAGAGCCAAGTTCAGTCAAATTTCGCAATATCAAAGAAGTTGGCCCACGAGGCAAAAATTCAAATTACTCCGCCATGTCAATCTTTCACTTCCAGAGAGTCAGATTCTCAACTAAGCTTCATCAAGTCTACAAGTACGACCTAGTACATCCTCACCCCAATGACCACACCTCTCGTCGACTTTCTCTGGCCTCGACCACCAAATACACGCCCACGCCGATATTTATACCCGACGGAGGAAGCAAAGCGTGGAGCACAAATCTGGGAGACAGTTCTTTGGGATGGACGTGAGAGGAATTCAGGACAAGTTTACAAGATGATGCAGAAGAGGGATATGTTTTCGACGGGCGTGAAATTTCGAATTTTGGCAAGAGTTTCACGAATTGAGCTTTGTGCGCGCCAAGACTTCGCTTGCGAGAGTGCAGCTGACACTATAAAAACAAGCAGACGATGGAAGGTGTAGTGATCCGCCTCCTGGTGATGTTCTCTGGTATGGTTTGAGTAGCCTGGGCACCTATTCCACCTGGGAAGGAGACACCTCAGATTACATATCGCGCGGAGAAAAGTTGATGGATGATGGAGGCATGTCTGGATAACTCAGAGTTTTTGAGACGTTCCCCTGGGTGGGTATTCACGGATGAAGGTTGACTTGGGGTGAAGAAAAAGCCACCATAACTTCGCAGTTGTACCTGCAAATGAAATCTGAGGCATGAGTGCTCCTCTTGTAAATTGAGTCATTTTTTCTGTACTTTTCTTTGATCTTGTGTCATAGCTAGATAGCTGCATACGCAATTAAAATCTGATGCAAAAAAACAAAAAAAAGAGGTGCTTAGCCGCCCGGGTTGTGACCAAAAAATGCGAGGGGTGCATTCTTGATGAAACCTTTTTTTTTGCATCAGATTTTAATTGCGTATGCAGCTATCTAGCTATGACATATGACCAGCCTGATTTGCTCACATAAGAAGAATCTTTTTATACCCGAAACAAGTTGGAATAAATAAATAAATAATTCATTATCCTGAATTGGCGCCTTAAGACCCATGCAGGTTTTTATCGGAAGATATATACTTTAAGGAGGACGACTCAAATTGACCTTTAGAACACTCGCACTTAGATTTCATTTGCGGATATCACTCGAGCTTAACCCCTACGGCGTGTAAACTCTTCCGTGAATACCCACCACGGGGAAAGGCGTGAAAAACCTATGATTATCCGAATGTGCTTTCATCGTCCCACAAATACAGTATCACCGCGGAAGAGAGTGGTGTGTGGGTCTTACTAGATTCGAAACCAGCTTTCTCCTGACTCAAATGGGGTAGGTGTTCAAGCTACCTAGTATCTACTGGGGAGAACGGCCCGAATAGTATACCACTGCACCATCCAGCCCAGTAAGTCTTAAGGATGAGGGTTTGACAGTGTTCCACGGGGTGCCTTGTATAGCCTAGTGAAGATCTAGGTGGTAAGTGAAGATAATAAATGGGTCAAAGGGATGACAGGTCTTCTCTAGGAAGAGATGAATGGGCAACTAGTTGCAGTAGATTTTACAGGTGGGTCTTGCTGATCAAGAACTGGGCAATGGATATATGGTCTTCCCGAAGAAGAGGTGGATAAACAAATGTATTGTAAAAGATAAGTAAAGAAGACGTTGCGTGAGAAGTAAATCTCTCTCACGCTGAACTATTATTTACACGAGTAGAAGCCTTTGTCAACTGGAATTAATCGTAATTAATTCTTGCCAATATCTTCGCATTAATGGCTGTGTACTTATCCTTCTCTTCATGACTCTCTTGTATATCCTTACTTGACTTTTTTCATGACTAATTGTATAGAGGAAGCTATTATTAAATTGATGGTTTTGATTAACTACCCCTTCATCTTATCACGAATTAATATTATTATTAGTATTAAAATCCTAATTACGGATCCCTGAAAGCAAGTTGGAGTAGTTGCGAAATTATTCGAGGTGCAAAAGTAATAGGTTTGGCAGCAGTAAGTAGCGATACGATACTCTGTTGTCTGTAGATATTTGATTAGACCTCATTTGACAATAGAGATGTCCGACAGCAATAGGCCGTGTAGGCACGCCAAACGATCTTCAGAGGACTTAGAGGCTTGGACTATCTTGTGTGCCTTCTTGGCGTTAAATGTTTATAAATAAATAAATATTCCAAAGACACTAATACTTTGAATTATATTCTTGTACACTGAACAGTCTACCCTCCTCTGTGTGCACCCATAAAAGGGAAGTTTCAAAACCTGCGATTATTCAAGTTTGCCTTCATCACCCATTTACACCGGTACCGCAAGAAATATTGCGAAGTCTCTCTAGCTTCGAGCCAGCGATCTCCCGTCTTATGTAGGGTTTGTCTCCGAGTTATGTAGTCTCTTTTTTCCCGGGCACGCAGTTACCACTATTCCAATTTTTATTTATTTACAATGTTTAACAACGTGCCCGCGCACAGCACGTGAGCTTTTCAAGTAGCGGTTTATTATTAATTCATTTTATTGTCTTTTCTGAGTCTATAACTATTTAGGACAAGCAGGTCCTCTCTACCTAAAGGTCAAGCATAGCTGAACCTCCCATACATCTCTCCTTAGACAGTACCGCCCCTCACAAGTCCTCATTCGATCATACACTTAGGGGAGCCCTTTGCCCTTCACTATCTCCCCTATCCAGCCAACAAAGCGATGGCCATTTGTGGGTGTATGGCAGCGGGGGAAAATCGCAAAAACCACTGGGTGCGGAGCCCTCCTAATACCGACATCAGGGCTAAATCCGAAGACATAGTGA